AAAGATTCTAAAGATTGTAAAGATTTTAAAGATTCTAAAGTTTTTATGAATCTAGTGGTCTGAATTCTAGAAATTGCAAAGATTTTAAAGAGGTAAAGATTCAAGAGAGCTCAAAATTCTAGAGATTCTATGTATTTCAAAGACTGCAAAGATTCCAAAGCTTTAGAGTATAGCGCTTCCAGCAACTTTAGAAATTCTAGAGATCTAGAGATTTTAAAGAGTCCAGAGATTCTAGAGATTCCAAAGTTTCTATGTTTCTAGAAATTTTAAAGGTTCTCGAGATTGTCGAGATTCTTGAGAGTCATTTAGATTGTAGTCGTTCCAGGAATTTTAGACATCCTAAAGAATCTAAAGACTTTACAGATTTTAAGGATTCTAGAGATACTAAAAATTCGAAAATTTCTAGAAATCCTGAAGATTGTATTAGATATTCTAACGGTTTCAAAAATTCTAGACTTTCTAAAGATTTCGAAGTTTCCAAAACTAATTCTAAAGTTCTAATGTTTGAAAAAGATTCTAAGAGATCCAGACCTCCACACTCAAACAGGATTTAACTCGTTTCTATAGGGTGTTTACGCTAAAAAAAGAAAGCTTTTTCACTAATTACAAATACTTCAAAAATTCTAGAAATTTAAAAAAAATGAAGGTTCCGAAAATTTTAGAAATTCCAAAATCCAGAAAATCTAGGGGTTCCACAAATTTTACATCCACATTCACACATTTTAAATAGGGTTTACTTAGCAAAGTTTTGAGACGACGTCATTAAATGATCAGACAAAACAATCAGTTCAATAGTTTCGGAGAGACAAAAGGTGACAAAAAATCACAAAAAAACGACAAAAAAAGTGCAAAAAAATGACAATAATATTGTTATTATTACGTTAAGTTGAACGACAAGCTTAAGCCCTATTACAGTTCAACTTTGCTGTTGTTATTAAAATAAATGAGTATGTAAATCCAGTCGATTTAAGCTGTACCATAGTTCCAGCAGCTGCAATTACTACTGTCCTCATAGCAAGGAGAGCTTAATCTGACTTTAAATATAATGCACTACAAAACCGAAAAAGTTAATTATCATTATGGATATTACGATATTAGAGTGCAAGTAGATTGTGAAGAAGACAAAAAAACGTAGCATAGAAAAAACATAACAAATAAAAACAATAATAGGTACGAGAAGATAACCTAGGAATAGTAATTTTAGTAATAATTGGCATTTGATAAGACAATGTTATTAAGTCTATAAGTATACAAAATCTATGTCTTCTGAGATTAGCAAAGTTAGAAAAAACATCACGTCTAGAGAAGGGAAGATTTTTAAAAGTATCTTCAAATTTATCTTCCATAGCATGTTTGGTAGCACCACAATCTACAAAAACTAAACAAAATTCACATCCCCACGTACCAATCCACGTGAAGATTGCAGAATTTTAAACCAGCAAAAAGAAACCCAGATAGCGATAATGCAGTTAATGGTGAAAAAGGACGAGAAAAATTCGCATTAAGTTGCGAATAGAACCACAAAATTAACAAAATAAATGCGGCGGCAAGCCGTCGAAGGACAAGATTTTGTTCATACTTATCTCAAACAATTATTGATGTATGAATTTATCCGTAACTGTAATAAAAACTACTAAAATCACTCAAAAGTTAGGCAAAAACACAGAGAGCACTTGAACGAACCGTCTCACACCGTATCACCGTATCTAATATGGAAAGTGTATCCAAATGACGTCATAAAGTTTGTGGAGTGTTACTTTAGGTTGACAATCCACTGAATATTCCTTACGACTGCGTCATTTTTTTTTTTTTCAAATAGAGGTAGTTTTAACATATTTTTCCATTGTCTGTGATTATTTGAAAAGTTATTGCAACATTACTTTACACTGGTATTGTGCTAAAAATTCTCCATGAACGAAAACATTTTTACAAAGTTTTACGATCTTTTTGGAAATTTTAAAAAAATTATTTTCGCGTTTGTCGTGGTCATTCGAAGATACTTCCAGAACAAATTCCGTTTTCCATACACTGGTACTAATGTTCGTCACCTACGAAAACACCAACAGAGACACTCTACACACCAAAGTAAGCAGAATTTATTTCCGCTACATCAACGAAATTGTCATCAGGAAGAGTTTCCTCGAAAAGAGATCTTGCGTGGAATCGACGCTCCAACTCAACTTTGAAGAAAACCAAGAAGTAGGTTTCAATTGCACTTTTAAATTAAATACCGAACTTTTTTTTTTGATAGAACAACCTCATGTCCAGTATCATTCCGCACCACATCGTAGGCAAAGTCAAAACTTCCTTGACCGAGTACATCTCCCAATACCGAAAAAACGGATCAGTCCCCCTTCAGAAACCCTTCGAGTAGGTCGCCAATCCCCAATTCAAAATCTGACGTTTTGTTTCCAGAAATCTCTACATCGAGGCGCACCAAAACGTGACCATTTTGTTTGCAGACATAGTCAATTACACCATGATGACCAGCAGGTTGGAGGTTTCTGGTATTTTGGACGTTTTGAACCACTTGTGCAGTCGATTTGACGCCATTTCTGAGGTTAGAATTTTTATCAAGATTTTTTAATCTATGTGAAGGTTTTTACAGAAATTGAAAGTTTTAAGGGTGAAGTTCTTGGGGGATTGTTATTATTGTGTGGCAGGTTTGCCCCCAGACCCTGCCCCTAATCACGCTGAAGCTTGCGTAGATTTTGGGCTAGAAATGATTGCGATTATTGCAGGTATAAGGTGAGTAGGAGTGGGGGGGGGGGACAAGCATCTATACTCTATCCACTCTAATTCTATAGAAAACTCAAAAACCTGGATATAAACATGCGAATCGGGGTTCATACTGGAAGCATAAGTTCGGGTATAATCGGAACGATTAAGTGGCAGTACGACATTTGGTCCAAAGACGTGGACTTGGCCAACAAAATGGAAACAGAAAGAACCGCTGGGTAATTTCACACTTCCTTTTTATAAACACGCCTAATTCTAGCTTCTAGAATGGTACACATCACTAAAGAAACCAAAAATCTGCTTCACAAACCTTACAACATAGAACTGTCCACAAAAATAGTTAATAATGAACCAACTTACTTAGTAAAACCGTGTCCCGAAAAAGCTCCACCACAAAATGGTGTCATCGGTGGGACCAGAAACCCACACACGAACCCCGGCCACAACCACGAAAACCAACGACGAAAGACGGTGTTTGTTAGAAGATTTAGCACCGATTTGATTAATCGTGACAATGAGATACCAAACGCGAGGAGTTTTTCTATGATTGGTAGTTACCCGGATCAAGAAAATGGGTGCATTAGTGTTGAAATCGAGAGACGGAAGGACTTTACACTGGAAAAACGCCACACGTATCCCAGTTCGAGAGACCGGTGGTTTACAGGATTCCCACTTCTCAAGATGTTTAAGAAAAACTCGAGCGGAAACGCGCGAATTTCCACGAACGACAGAAAGAGGACCACGGTGTTCATGAATAGCAATATCAAGCGGTACCGAGAGATGTTGGACGAGACGAATATGGAAATGGAAGAAACTATAGAAAATTTGTCGTTTTCGAAGTCCGAGTAAGTGGGTATTTTGGTTAAGTGGGGGTTGATTTTGGCTTGTTGTAGAGAGTGGTTTAAAAATCCCGACATGTATCAAGTACTTCTTGTTTTTAAAGATTTCAAGAGTGAGATCGACTTCGTGAAGACCCCGGACCCTCTATTTAAGTACTACATTTTAAGCGAAGTACTAATTCTTTTTTTGGTGTATGTTTTGGAAAATTTGACGTTGACAGAGTAAGGACTTGGCGTTAACCACAATTTGTTTTATTTTTGTGTTTTCCAGATGGAACTCTCCCGAGTGGCCTTTTTACCTAACTCTAGGTTTGATCATCTTTGTTTTTTTTTTCCCTTACGTGGACCCACTACATCTGGACTAACTTTTTTGCGAACTTCAAAAACGAACTTCCAACTAACCAAGTCATAAGTTTGTTCTACAAGAATTCTAAATTTATCACGAATAACTCTCTAGCACGATTTATAATTTACACAATTCTGTATGTTCTGTTTTGTGTTTGCGTTCTGTCACAGTGGGTAAGAATTCATCGACTTGGTAACGTTTATTTTGATTTAATTCTCTAGGTGGAGTGCTACGAGACCGAAATTTTGCTAAATCAAAAGTCCAATGTTTCTGGTGGAGCCAAAAAAAATTTTTTAGTTCTGATGATGAACACCAGGAGTGAAGAAAACCACGAACAGTGTATTATCCCATGGGTACGTCTGTACGTTATGAATTAATTTCAATCTTTTTTTTTAATTTTTTTAGCAAATGACTGAAACTTTCGCTCTAGCCATAATATTGAGCTTCTTATTTCTTCGAATGTACATGTGGTTAAAACTGTTGTACGCTTCCGCCATTGCCGCCATCTACTCCTACTGTATTTTACAATTCAGTGTTAAATTTTACGGGGTTAGTAAAACTTTTGCGTTAAATAATACAACAAAGGAATATTTTTAGGACAGCCAGACATTCAATTCCGCTTTAACCCCCGAAGTTTCCCACATTTTGAGTATTTTTTCTCTAACCCTCATCCTCCATCTCGTCGACCGCCAGACCGAATACATAAACAGAATCAACTACTTATGGTACAAACATCTAATAATAAAAGAAGATCAAGCCAGTGCTCAACACAAAGTGAACACTTTGTTGCTCGTCAACATCCTCCCCATACCAGTTGGTAACTTATTTTCCATTTTGACAAGCAGTGATACCACATCACCATATTTTTAGTCAAACTGTACCTAAATGTGAACAGACCATCATCCGAAGAACTCTACAGCGACACTTACTCTAACGCAGCTGTTATGTTTGCGTCAATCACAAACGTGTCTTTAGAGTCTCTAGGCAGCGGTTTTTTGACCATAATGAGTGCGATTTTTGGCGAATTTGATCTGGTAAATAACAAATTACAAAAATTGTTCTACAGACTCGTGTAGATTTTAGTGAAAATATCCACGACAGTCCTATCGAAAAAATCAAAATTGCTAAATGAACCTATATGGCGGCTTGTGGACTAGTCGATAATTCAAATCAGTCAAACAGCGTCATTTCGTTGTTAAAATTCGCTGCGCGGTTGATGCAGAAGCTGAAAGAGATGAACGAAAAGGAAATCAAGCAGGACTTGAAACTAAGAATAGGTTTTATTAGTTTTGGTGATGGCGAATATGTACATTTTTTGTTTGTAGGAATATCTCACGGTTCCGTGGCTGTCGGTGTCGTGGGTTCGAAGAAGCCTCTGTATGATATATGGGGCGATCCTGTAAATATGGCGTCCCGAATGGATACTTTGGGTCTAGGTGACCACATTCAAGTCCTGGAAGCCACAGCTAGAGTAATTGAAAGTTGTGGCTACGTTTGTCGCTACAGAGGAACTATTAAAGCCAAAGGGGGGGAAGGTCTCGTTCCTATTTTGTGGGCTTGGATGAAAATTTTGACTTGATGGAACTGTGATTTTGTTAAAGTAGTGAATTTGGTGTACAGTTTCGGGCCACCATTTCTTCAAGTTTTGCTAAAACGTGATTATTATTATTATTATTATTTTTACGATATTAGTTTTACCTTCGTCGAGGAACTGGATGGAAACCACGAGATACGTAGCGATAGATGACAAGACCTGAAAAAATGTATATTTGTAGATATCAATTATAAATTATGTGACAGTTGTGATGAGTTATTACTCCCGAGTGTAAGTATTGTAATCGAGTTTCATGACCCCTAGATTACGAAAAAATAGGTCTCCAGTTTCCGTCTGTCTCTCTGTCCGCCATCTGTGTCGATTTAGATAAGTATCCAAATTTTTGGAAAAAAAAAATCAAAATTTTATAACATTTTACAATTTAATTTTGAAATCTTGCGAACATTTCAAGGTTATTGGAAGCATGGTAAATCTGCAATCAAAATTTGTCCGTTTATACCTTAGGAATCGATGATGTTGTCTTACATTTTTGTTCAATAAATGTTATTTAAATGTTAGTCCTAAACTGGTTGTTTGTGATTACGTGGAATTTTTATCATATATATCGCAATTTTTGGGGAAAAAAAATTGTATAATCTTGATTTTTCAATTTCAGTTTTGGGATTGTTAATTTTTTCTTCGATTTTTCAAATTTTCCATTTTCCTACTTATCAATTTTTCAATACATATTTCAGTTTTGGAATTTTTCGATATTTTGATATTTCAGTTTTACAATGTTTCAATATTTCGATTCTTCAACTTTTCGACTTTTAAATTTTTTGATTTCTAGACTTTTTGCTTTTTCAATTTTTCCACTTTTAAATTTCTAAATTTATTTGGTGTTTCAATTTCTCGATTTTTTAGTTTCTCGTAACTTCGATTATTCGATTTTTTGACTTTTCTATTTTTCGACTTCTCGATCTCTTGATTATTTCTTTTTTTGCTTTTTCAATTTTTCGATTTTTTAAATTTTAAATATTTCGATTTTTCAATTGTTCAATTTCCCAATTTTTCAATTTTTCGATTTCTCGGCTTTCGCTTTCTCGATCTCATGTTTCAGTATCTCAATATGTATTTCAGTTTCCCAATTTTACGATTTTTCAGTTTTTCCAATTCTCGATTTTTTAATTTTTCGAGTTCTATTTTCCGATGTTGTACGATTTTTCATTTTCTAAAAATCTCCATTTTTTTCAAATTTTCAGGTTTCTGTTTCCTCAATTTTTCAGTTTTTTAAATTTAATTTTAATTAATCAATGTTCTTTTTTCGATTTTTGCACTTTTAGATTTTTCGACTTTTCGATTTTTAATTTTTCGATTTCACAATTTTTTACAGTTTTGGGATTTTCACTTTTCCTTGGATTTTTCAATTTTTCGATTTTTCGATATCTCGATTTATCGATTTCTCAATTTTTTATTTGTCCGATTTTTCAGTTTTTTAAATAAATTTTAGGTTTTTCGAATTTTGGTGTTTCGATTTCTCGATTTTTAATTTTTCGACTTATCGATTTTTTGATTTCTGGATTTTTTACTTTTTCGATTTTTCGATTTCGTAAATTTTAGATGTTTCGATTTTTCAATTGTAGAATTTTTCGATTTTTCGATTTTTTGACTTTTCGATTTCTCAATTTTTAAATTTTAAATATTTCGATTTGTCATTTTTTCAATTTCCCGATTTTCCAATTTTCCAACTTTTCGATTTTTTGATTTCTGGATTTTTTACTAATGCAATTTTTCGATATTTTATATTGTAGATTTTTCGATTATTTGATTTTTCGATTTCCTTTTCTTGATTTTTTATTTTTTCGATCTTTCAATTTTCGATTTTGTAAATTTTAGATGTTTCGATTTTTCAATTGTACAATTTTCCGATTTTTCGATATTTTGACTTTTCGATTTCTTACTTTTTTATTTGTTCGATTTTTCAATTTTTCGATTTCTCGACTTTCGATTTCTCGATCTTCTCATGTATCAGTTTCTCAATATTTCAATTTTTCGATGTTTCCATTGTACAATTTTTTGATTTTCCAACTTTTCGATTTTTTGATTTCTGGATTTTTTACTTATGCAATTTTTCGATATTTGAAATTTTAGATTTTTCGATTATTTGACTTTTCGATTTTTCGATTTCCTTTTCTTGATTTTTTATTTTTTCGATCTTTCAATTTTTGATTTTTTAAATTTAAGATGTTCCGATTTTTCAATTGTTCAGTTTCCCGATTTTCCAATATTTCAATTTTTCGATGTCTCGATTCTTCAATTTTTTGATTTGCCAACTTTTCAATATTTTACTTTTGGGATTTTTCAGTTTCCCGATTTTTCAATTTTTCGATTTTTCAATTTTTTGATTCTTCATTTTTTCTATGCTTAGTACTTCAAATTCTCGATTTTTTGGTTTCTCAGGTTTTCAGTTCTTTGACTACTCAGTTTTTCTACATTTCTGTTTTTTAGTTCTTTTCGATTTCTTAATTTTTCGGTTTCCCAATTTGACGAATTTCCAATTTTTCGAATTCTCGATTTTTTAATTTTTCGGTTTCCCATTTTTTAAAATCTTCATTTTTTGACTTAATTTTTCAGGTTTTTTAAATTTCCGGTTTTTTGATTTTGCCACTTTCAGTTTTTTCGACTTTTCGATTTCTCAATTTTTTTAATTTTTCGATTTCACTATTTTTTGAAGCTACAGTTTTGAGATTTTTAATTATTTGTTGATTTCCAATTTTTCGATTTTTCGATTTATCGACTTACCAATTTTTCGATATTTAGGGTTTGGATTTTTTCAAAATATTTCGATTTATCGAGTTTTTAATTTTTCGATTGTTCAATTTTTTAAATAATTTTAGCCTTTTCCATTTTTTGGTGTTTCGATTCCTTAATTTTTAATTTTTTCAGTTATAGGGTTATTGATTTTCCAGTTTTTCAATTTCCCGATTTATCGATTTTGGGTTATTTCTATTTCTGTTTTTTTCTTCAATTTTTCGATTCCTCGGCTTTTCGATGAATCGATCTTTTCATGTTTCTCAATGTTTTAATCCATCAATTATTCGATGTTTCGTTTTCTTGATATTTCAATTTTTCGATTTTTTGACTTGTCGCCTTTTCAATTTTTAGTTTTTACAATTCTTTTCAATTTTTGATTTCTCAATTTTCGACATTTTAGTTTTTTCGGTTTTATAATTTCTTAATTTTACATTTTTCGATTTTTTGGTACATATTTCGATTTCCCCATTTTAAAATTTATCGATTCAATTTTTCCAATTTTCGATTTCTCGACAACTCGACTTTTCGATTTAAAAAAATTTTCGGATTTCAATTCCCCGATTTTTTAAGCTTTTAAAAATTTCGCTTTCTGGAATGTTGATGTTTCTATTTCTCCATCTTCAATTGTCGACTTTTCGTATTTCAATTTTTCAATTTTCCAATTATTTTATTTTTCGTTTTAAAAATGTATCGATTTTTAAATTAAATAATATATAATATTTAAAAATGGTTGTTGACGTAATTGTGGAAACCCACCTTTAGATATGGTTACAAAAAATTGGTCTAAAGAGTTTAGACAGTACTTCCCTCGCTGTCGGAAACGTGACGACTGCATGCCTATTATGTTTTTTTTTTCGCAGTGGATTTCAAAGAATTCGGTTTTGTAGTTCCTGATTAAATCAATAAAATATATTTACGCATTCATTAATTTTTTTGAGTCACTCTGTATATGCAATTCCAAAAAATATAAATGGAGTGATAAATGACAAGTACAGACTCATCATATTTTGTACATTTTAGATATGATTTATTCGGCAAACTTTCGAGCTGACGTCATCAAGTTTTTGGAGGGGATAAGCAAATATATTTTGACTAGACATTTATTATGCTCTTTATGACCTTAAAACATCTGCAAGATTTCAGAGCATTCGGTTTTGTAGTTCCTGATTAAATCAATAAAATATATTTACGCATTCATTAATTTTTTTGAGTCACCCTGTATATGCAAATCCAAAAAATATGAATGGAGTGATAAATTACAAGTACAGACTCATCATATTTTTACAGTTTAGATAGGATTTATTCGGCAAACTTTCGAGCTGACGTCATCAATTTTTTGGAGGGGATAAGCAAATATATTTTGACTAAACATTTATTATGCTCTTTAGAACCTTAAAACATCTGCAAGATTTCAAAGCATTCGGTTTTGTAGTTTCTGAGTAAATCAGTAAAATAAATTTACGCATTCATTAGTTTTTTTGAGTCACCCTGTATATGCAAATCCAAAAAATATGAATGGAGTGATAGATCACAAGTACAGACTCATCATATTTTGTACATTTTAGATATGATTTATTCCACAAACTTTTGAGCTGACGTCATCAAGTTTTTGGAGGGGATAAGCAAATATTTTTTGACTACAGATTTATGATGCTCTTTATAGCCTTAAAACATCTGCAACATTTCAAAGCATTCTGGTTAGCAGATTAAAAATTAAATTTCAAAATGTTGTTTTATAATTTTGATTTTTTTTCCAAAAATCTGGACGTTTCGGGTGAAAAGTCGATTCGGAGTTGTAAACTACATGTGTAGGACTATGTTATTTTATACAATTGAAAACCCATTTACTATGTACAATTTTGAAGTGACGTCATCGCATTAGTGGTGGGGATGATTAGACAAATTTTGGTTAGCGTTTTACCATCTACATGATATTCTTAATATAAGTACAAAATTTCACAACAATCGGTCGAGTACTTTCGGAGATTATCTGTCTAATAAAAATCCGGGACAACAGACGGACAGACGGACGGACAGACGGACAGACGGACGGACAGACGGACAGACGGACAGACGGACGGACAGACGGACAGACGGACAGACGGACAGACAGACGGAAATGGGAGACCTATTTCTTCGTCTTCTAGGGGTCATGAAAGATCGAGAAAACGTAAAAGTAGAGAGTCGGCCGACGGACTCGATTACAATACTTCCTTTGCTTACGCTCGGGAAGTAAAAAGTTACCGAGATGCTAAGCCGAGATGTCAATTTTATCAGTTTGAGGTTATGGTTAAAAAAAAAAAGAAATAAGTTCGTGGTAACAATGGCAACAAAGAATTCAATCATGATTTCAAAATATTATATTTGATGCCAACTACCAACTTGATTTAGAATTTTCACAGCCACTTGCGTCGATAACAATTTTGAAACAAATAATACGTCACTGGTTTTTACTTTATAAAGATTATTCGAAAAGAAATCGTAAAAAAACATAATTTAAAAGTTCCGTCGACATAACCTTCAACCAATTTTTTTAATTACGATACGCACACTGAACGTAAACGCACCTTAATCTCCGCTCCGCGCTCTAAACCCACCATCTCCCAAACCCAAACGTCAACTTCGACTGTCACCACAACTGTCAACTGTCACACAATCTTTACCAAGTGTTTGACTCAACAGTGCCCCACTTTCACACCGTGCTCGCCCCATAATCACACTCGCCCCCAAAAACCACGCTGCCAAAAATGCCACACCTCCAGCCCCCATTTTAGCCAGCCCAACGATGCCTAACCTAGAAAATGATCCGCAAGAAACGAAAGTGGTATACCAAACAAAATGATTGTGTTCTTGTACCTCAGTGTGTTTACGTTTGTAATTCGGGCTTCCGACCCCAGCCACAACGAAATCTCCACGGAAGACAACCTAGAATCGCCCTTATGTTGCAACCTAACTGTCGATCATGTGGAAGTGGAGTACAGTTCAAAAGTCGTCGAGAATGAGTACATCGTCATGTTCAACGGTTACTACAAGAACCAGGCGAGGGCGAATTATATTAATACGGCCCTGAACACGTCGGGGGTGCGGAAGTGGAAGATTTTGTCTAGAGAGAACCCGGCTAGTGATTACCCGAGTGATTTCGATGTGGTTATCATCGAGGACACGGATAAGAACGCGGGTTTGAGCGCTTTAACCAACCACCCGACTATTAAAACAGTGACGGCGCAGCGGATGGTTTTACGGACTTTGAAGTTCATCAACGACAATTATGTGAGACGCGGGAGGACGAGTCTTTCCAAGAGCCAGTTCTGGCAGGCCACGGGGCGCCACACTAGTAGAAGACTACTAAGAGCTATCCCGAGACAAATCACCTCAGTGCTTCAAGCTGACTCTCTATGGAACATGGGGGTCACCGGAAAAGGGATCAAAGTGGCCATTTTTGACACAGGTTTATCCAAAACGCACCCCCACTTTAGAAAAATCAAAGAAAGGACAAACTGGACGAACGAAAAGACGTACGATGATGGGTTAGGTCATGGTACTTTTGTGGCTGGGGTGATAGCCTCCAGTAAAGAGTGCCTGGGTTTTGCCCCTGACTCAGAGCTCCATATTTTTCGTGTCTTCACGAATAACCAAGTGTCGTACACTTCGTGGTTTCTGGACGCTTTTAATTACGCTATTTTGAAAAAAATTAACGTTTTGAATCTGAGTATTGGGGGGCCGGATTTTAAGGATCACCCTTTCGTGGATAAGGTGTGGGAGCTGACGGCGAATAGGGTGGTTATGGTTAGCGCAATAGGGAATGATGGGCCGTTGTATGGTACTTTGAATAATCCAGCGGACCAGATGGACGTGATTGGTGTGGGAGGGATTAATTTCGAGGATCAGATTGCGAAGTTTTCGTCCCGAGGGATGACGACGTGGGAATTGCCGCAAGGTGATTTATTTTTGGGTTATTTCGTGCTAAAATGGCAAATACAAATTTTTACCTTTGAGGTTTTTCCAAAATTTTTCGCAAATTGTTTTATTTTTGGGCTATTTCGTGTCAAACGGCAAACCAAAATTTTTTACTTTAAAGTTTTTTGAATTTTTTTTTCGCAGATTGATCAAAATTTTTTTTTTAATTTTTCGAAAAATGATCAAGATTTTTAAAAAATATTAAGTATACGTCCAATTTTTCCGAAATTGATCGCTCTATTTTCAAATGTTGTCTGTTTTTAAATCATTTCATTCCAAAGCAGTAAATCAAAAAATTTTTACGTTTTAGATTTTTTTTCAAAATTTTTCGAATAATGTTTCCTCAGAGCTTGATTTTTCACAAATTGATAGCTGTAAATTTAATTGTTGTATTTTTTGAGATATTTCGTGCTAAAATGGAAAACCAAAATTTTTACCATCCAAACTTTTTGAAATTTTTGCGTCAACTGATCTTTAAAAGATTGTAAAAAGGCTTACTATAAGTTTGATTTTTCCGAAATTGATCACTTTAAGCTTTAATGTTGCCAGTTTTTGCATTATTTAGTGACGAAACAACATTGCAAAATTTTTACGTTTTAGATTTTTTTCAAAGTTTTTCTAAAAATTGATCAAAATTTGTAAAAAATATTAAGTGTACGTCTGATTTTTTTCGAAATTGATCGCTCTATATTTAATTAAATGTTATCTGTTTTTGAATCATTTCATGTCAAAGCAACAAATGAAAATTTTTTCGTCTTAGATTTTTATCAAAATTTTTGGAAAATTATCTAAACCAAGCTCGATTTTTCAAAAATTGATGGCTGTAAATTTAATTATAGTCGGTTTATGAGTTATTTCGTGCCAAAATGACAAACAAAAATTTTTACCATCTACATTTTTCCAAATTTTTTTAAAACGGATCATTTAAAGATTGAATAAGTTTGATTTTTCTGAATTTGATCACTTTATACTTCTATGTTGCCAGTTTTTGAATTATTTAGTGACGAAACGATATTGCAAAATTTTAACGTTTTAGATTTATTTTTTAAATTTTTCGAAAAATTGATAAAAATTTGTAAAAAATATTAAGTATTTGTCCAATTTTTCCGAAATTGATCGCTCTATCTTCAAATGTTGTCTGTTTTTGACTTTAATTCTAAAGCAGTAAATCAAAAAATGTTTACGTTTCAGATTTTTTTCAAAATTTTTCGAAAAATATTTCATCTGAGCTTGATTTTTCACAAATTGATAGCTGTAAATTTAATTGTTGTATTTTTTGAGATATTTCGTGCTAAAATGGAAAACCAAAATTTTTACCATTCAAACTTTTTAAAATTTTTTCATCAACTGATCTTTAAAAGATTGTAAAAAGGTTTACTGTAAGTTTGATTTTTCCGAAATTGATCACTTTATGCTTTAATGTTGCCAGTTTTTGAATTATTTAGTGACGAAACAATAATGCAAAATTTTTACGTTTTAGATTTCTTTCAAAATTTTTAGAAAAATTGATCAAAAGTTGTAAAAAATATTAAGCGTACGTCTAATTTTCTCGAAATTGATCGCTCTATATTTAATTAAATGTTATCTGTTTTTGAATCATTTCATGTCAAAGCAGCAAATGAAAATTTTTTCGTCTTTGATTTTTATCAAAATTTTTGGAAAAATATTTAATCTAAGCTCGATTTTTCAAAAATTGAAGGCTGTAAATTTAATTAATGTCGGTTTGTGAGTTATTTCGTGCCAAAATGGCAAACAAAATTTTTTACCATGTATATTTTTCCAAATTTTTTTCTAAACTGATCTTTAAAATATTGCTATAAGTTTGATTTTTCTGAATTTGATCACTTTATACTTCTATGTTACCAGTTTTTGAATTATTTAGTGACGAAACGATATTGCAAAATTTTTACGTTTTATATTTATTTTTTAAATTTTTCGAAAAATTGATCAAAATTCGTAAAAAATATTAAGCATACGTCCGATTTTTCAGAAATTGATCTCTCTATCTTCAAATGTTGTCTGTGTTTGAATCATTTCATTCCAAAGCAATAAATCAAAAAATTTTTACGTTTTAGATTTCTTTCAAAATTTTTAGAAAAATTGATCAAAAGTTGTAAAAAATATTAAGCGTACGTCTAATTTTCTCGAAATTGATCGCTCTATATTTAATTAAATGTTATCTGTTTTTGAATCATTTCATGTCAAAGCAGCAAATGAAAATTTTTTCGTCTTTGATTTTTATCAAAATTTTTGGAAAAATATTTAATCTAAGCTCGATTTTTCAAAAATTGAAGGCTGTAAATTTAATTAATGTCGGTTTGTGAGTTATTTTGTGCCAAAATGGCAAACAAAATTTTTTACCATGTATATTTTTCCAAATTTTTTTCTAAACTGATCTTTAAAATATTGCTATAAGTTTGATTTTTCTGAATTTGATCACTTTATACTTCTATGTTACCAGTTTTTGAATTATTTAGTGACGAAACGATATTGCAAAATTTTTACGTTTTATATTTATTTTTTAAATTTTTCGAAAAATTGATCAAAATTCGTAAAAAATATTAAGCATACGTCCGATTTTTCAGAAATTGATCTCTCTATCTTCAAATGTTGTCTGTGTTTGAATCATTTCATTCCAAAGCAATAAATCAAAAAATTTTTACGTTTTAGATTTTTTTCAAATTTTTTCGAATAATGTTTCATCAGAGCTTGATTTTTCACAAATTGATAACTGTAAATTTAATTGTTGTATTTTTTGAGATATTTCGTGCTAAAATGGAAAACCAAAATTTTTACTATTCAAAGTTTTTAAAATTCTTTCGTCAACTGATCTTTAAAAGATTGTAAAAAGGTTTACTATAAGTATGATTTTTCTGAAATTGATCACTTTATGCTTTAATGTTGCCAGTTTTTGAATTATTTAGTGACGAAACAACAATGCAAAATTTTTACGTTTTAGATTTCTTTCAAAATTTTTCGAAAAATTGATCAAAATTTGTAAAAAATATTAAGTGTACGTGTAATTTTTTCGAAATTGGTCGCTCTATATTTAATTAAATGTTATCTGTTTTTGAATCATTTCATATCAAACCAGCAATTGAAAATTTTTTCGTTTTAGATTTTTCTCAAAATTTTTCGAAAAATATTTAATCTAAGCTCGATTTTTCAAAAATTGATAGCTGTAAATTTAATTACTGTCGGTTTGTGAGTTATTTCGTGCCAAAATGACAAACAAAAATTTTTACCATTTACATGTTTCCAAATTTTTCTGTAAACTAATATTCAAAAGATTGCTATAAGTTTGATTTTTCTGAATTTGTTCATTTTATACTTCTATGTTACCAGTTTTTGAATTACTTAGTGACGAAATGATAATGCAAAATTTTTACGTTTTAGATTTGTTTTTTAAATTTTTCGAAAAGTTGATCAAAATTTGTAAAAAATATTAAGTGTACGTCCGATTTTTCCCAAATTGATCGCTCAATCTTCAAATGTTATCTGTTTTTGAATCATTTCATCCCAAAGCAGTAAATCAAAAAATTTTTACGTTTTAAATTTTTTTCAAAATTTTTCGAATAATGTTTCCTCAGAGCTTGATTTTTCACAAATTGCTAGCTGTAAATTTAATTGTTGTATTTTTTGAGCTATTTCGTGCTAAAATGGAAAACCAAAATTTTTACCATTCAAACTTTATCAAATTTTTTCGTCAACTGATCTTTAAAAGATTGTAAAAAGGTTTACTGTAAGTTTGATTTTTCCGAAATTGATCACTTTATGCTTTAATGTTGCCAGTTTTTGAATTATTTAGTGACGAAACAACAATGCAAAATTTTTACGTTTTAGATTTCTTTCAAAATTTTTCGAAAAGTTGATCAAAATTTGTAAAAAACTTTAACTGTACGTCTAATTTTATCGAAATTGATCGCTCTATACTTAATTAAATGTTATCTGTTTTTGAATCATTTCATGTCAAAGCAGCAAATGAAAATTTTTTCGTTTTATATTTTTATCAAAATTTTTGAAAAAATGCTTATTCTAAGCTTGATTTTTCAAAAATTGATAGCTGTAAATTTAATTGATGCCTGTAAATTATTACGTGCCAAAACGGCAAACCAAAATTTTGACCATTCAGATTTTTTCAAATTTTTTCGGAAACTGATCCTTAAATAATTTTAAAAAGGTCTTCTATAAGTTTCTATTTTCAGAAATTAATCCCTTTATACTTCAATGTTGTCAGTTTTTTAATTATTTAGTGCCGAAACGACAATTAATTTTTTTTTACATTTTAATTTTCTTTCAAAATTTTTCGAAAATCGACAAACCAAAATTTTTATATTTCAGATTCTTTTATTTTTTTTCGCAAATTGATTAAAAGATTGTAAAAAATGTTTAATGCAAGTTTGATTTTTCAAAAATGGGTGGCTGTAAATTTAAGCGTTTGATTTTTTTGAGCAATTTCGTGCTAAAATGGAAAACCAAAATTTTTAGGTTTCAGATATTTTTTTTTGTATATGGATCTTTAAAATATTGTCAAAAGGTCTACTATCAGTTTGATTTTTCTGAAACGGATTACTCGATATTCAACTGTTGGCTGTTTTTGAATCATTTAGTGCAAAAGCGGCGAATCAAAATTTTTACGTTTTAGATTTTTTTCAATTTTTTTCGAAAAATGCTTATTCTAAGCTTGATTTTTCAAAAATTGATAGCTGTAAATTTAATTTATGTCTGTGAATTATTTCGTGCCAAAACGGCAAACCAAAATTTTGACCATTCAGATTTTTTCAAATTTTTTCGGAAACTGATCCTTAAAAAATTTTAAAATGGTCTTCTATAAGTTTGTATTTTCAGAAATTAATCCCTTTATACTTCAATGTTGTCACTTTTTTAATTATTTAGTGCCGAAACGACAATTAATTTTTTTTACATTTTAGTTTTCTTTCAAAATTTTTCGAAAATCGACAAACCAAAATTTTTATATTT